GTTTGTTTTCAGTAAAACTTTATATTTTATCTGTTATTTTCTTTATCCTAATTCTATACAAGGTTGGTCAATTTGACTGACCTCATCTCCCCCCAAATCTAAGTAAATTAAAACTACCCTCTTTTTCTTTCTATAATGACTTCAAATGTAGTGTGAAACTACATTTGTGTATCCTAAGTAGCTTTCAACTCGCAACAGTATACATCTATTTATAATTAAATTTTATTGTTTTTTTTGCACTTTTTATGGGCCCTTTGAACCATGTCTAACTACTATCAGTGCCATTATAAGTTGTAAATCACTTGGGGAACGTGCAGCTCACCTTACACTATCGAATTACATTACCCATGAGCTACTTCAAGCTGCTCACATGCGTGCCTCATGAAACATTTTTATTATATATTTTGATTAAACATTACTTTACTAACCTAAAAAAAGAACCATATTTTTACATTTTAGTTACTTTCATAATAATAAATACAGAATAAACATGAAAAACAAGAAATAAAATATTTTTTTTTGCTATCAACTGTTGATGACACTTAATCCTACTTTTTTAATACTAATGGTAGTAACGCATAAAATAATTTTTATTTAATTAACTTTCTCAATGTGGGCATGGTCAATTTGACTGACAACGTGACCTCGTTGTTTTTGTTTCAAGTCTTTATAGATTTAATACTTCTAATTTTCAATATAGTGTGTATATTTCAAAAGTATTTGGCAGACTTTGAGTAAACATTATAAGTCTTTCTCATACAAAAAAATCATATTTTTAGTAAAGTATTTTAATAAACTAAAATAAAGAATTGTCCATGAATATTTTTTTTTTTAGAATGACTTCAAATTGTAACACAATTTCATTCATTTATCTTAAGTAGCTTTAAGCTTGTAACTATTTATAATTATATTTTATTGTTTTATTGCCCTTTGAATTGTGTCTAACTACCATTATAAGTTGTGAATCACTCAGGGAGTGTACAGCTCATGTTACACTATCGAATTACATTACCCACAAGTTACTATGAGCTGCTCATGTGCATGCCTCATGAAACATTTTTATTATATTATTTTTATATATTTTACCTAATCTAATCTTAACTAACCTAAAAGGATCCCTATTTTTCCATTTTATTTACTTTTATAATAATAAAGAATATACATGAAAAACAAGAAATATAATACTTACACAATCTTTTTTTTCTTGCTTTCAATTCTCGATGAAACTTAACCCTAATTCTTTTTATACTAATGATATTAATGCACTAAATAATTTTTATTTAAAAAGAATAATGTACCAAAAAACATAGACTAATAACATGCAACAAGTAGACAATTTCCCCAACTCTTGAAATTTTTCTGGCTTATCTATTCAGAACACAACACTATACAATACATCATTTGATAGATGAAAACCTTCACTTTTTATTGGTTATAGGTAATTAAACATAAGAGAGAATTATTAACAATCCTGAAAGAGAGGATGTGACAGGTGGGTGTGGTGGGAAGTCTCTGATTTTTTATTTGATGGCTCTGTAACCAAACAAACTTGAAGGCAATAAAAAGTATGGTTTGTCTGAGCAATGACAATTTTATAGTGAGTAATTTACTCACAATTTCATAGTTATTGTAGGGGTGGTGGATAACATATAGAAGAGAAAATGTGGCACACTAGAGGAAATTCAGGATTTTTTAAATATTTCCTTGTAGAATTAAGAACTTAAAATTTGTATACTATTAAAATATGAATTATTAGCTAAGATTTTATGCAATACTAATTGGTGTAACATAAACAAAAAGTAGTTTAGTAAAATTTTGAATGTAAGGCACTAAAACCTTGTGTCATGTGCAGTAAAGTATACCTGTGGTGACAGGGTTAAATAATGCATCAAAGAACATAGAATAATAACATGCAAAAAGCAGACAATTTACTTTAATTATTAAAATTTTTTTGGCTTTCTAATTATGCAACAAGAGCTAATTGTTATCTTTCCTGTGGGAACAAAGCTTGCACTAACAGAGATATTGACAATCTCCATTCAGAAAACAATATAATATAATATGTCATTTGATAGATGAAAACCTTGGCTTTCTACTGGTTATACATAATATAGAATTAAATGTAAAAGAGAACTATTAACAAATCCTGAAAGAGGGGATTTGACAGGTGGGTGTGAAGAGGGGTCTGATTTTCGATTTGATTTTGATGGTTTTGTACCCAAACAAAATTGAAGGTTATATAAAGTATGGTTTGTCTGAGCAATAACAATTGTGTAGTGAGTAATTTACATTAGATTTCATACTTATTGGGGGGGGGGATAAAATAGAGAAGAAGGGATGCCTCGAGAAAATGTCATATTTCTCGCACTAGAGGAAATTCAGGTATTTTTTAAAAATATTTCCTTATGAAATTAAGAACTTAAAACTGATATAAAATATAGATTATCAGCTACAATTTTATGCTATACTAATTGGTATAGTGTAAACAAAAAGTAATTTAATAAAATTTTGAATGTATGTCACTAAAACCTCATGATGTGCAGTAAATGATGCCTTGGCAGAAAGTGTTAATGAAGTGTAGTTTAGTGTGCAGTGTAGAAGTTGTCAACAATGACACTAAAATATGTTTTAAAGTTACATATTATTATTTTGTGTTTCTAGTTGAATATTTGAAATAAATCAAATTCATTAAAATACTAACAGTAACGAAAATCACTTTGCACTTGGAGCAGAAAACACTTTGACTCCATATATTCATGGAGATATTTTTATTGAAAATACTTCTTTAAAAATTGATTGTTTTTCTACAAATGACTCTTAATGATTACTGAAAGCTTGTAAAATATTGTAAAGATACACAAAACATATTAGAAGTTATAATGTGGAAAAAATTTGGAGTCACAAACTTGGCCTATTTGAGTGAGCCTATATTAAGAGAGTTAATGTGAAAAATCACCTTGCTCTTAGACTGGTCAGAGATTGGGTCGGACTATGACTGTAAGTTCACAGGCAAATTTTAGTGAAAATATAAAACAAATCTGATTTTTGTGCACAAAACCTTGTAATGATTACTATATTCTTGCCAAATTTTGTGAAGATACACTTATTACATTAAAAGTTATAGTATATATGGTTTCATGGTTACATGGTGGTTAAAAGATTTGTCAAAGTAATTGATACCATATATGGAGAGTTAACCTCCACTCAAAGTTATGTTATTACTTATGTGTTAACATTTTTGTAGATTATAAAACAATCAGTAATCTGTTTAATAGTTTAAAATATTTTCTCTATTTGTGAAGCTGCTCTATTCAAGAAGCTTAGTTGATAGACTGGAAAAGTTGGAATAAACACTAAGTATGTCACTACTCAGGTTAGAGCTAATAGTTCAGACATAGTGAGGGATAAAAAAAATCTTTTGTCTTTAACATATTCAATAATATGTGAAATGTTTCATTCATGCCTGTTTGTTTTTTCACAGAAGCTACATTGACTACAAACACATTAAGCACAAAACCTAGTGTTGGAAATTTGTCTGAAGCTAAGAAAACAGAGATCATAAGCACCACTGGGGCAACTAGTAAAATAATACATCCAGAAGAAGATATTTCATTGGTGAGTGTGAACCTTTATTTTACTGCTATGAAATACATCATTTTAACCCCTTTTCTGGTAGCAGCATGTCATTGACAACTCATTCTTTGTGTTCTCACACTTAGTATACTTTGTATAATTGCAATCGAAATTTGGTACACAACTGCTACATTATATCTAGTTTGTTCTGAAAAAAAAGATATTAATTTTGTTTTATATTTCTATATTTTAGGTTGTGAATTTTTTTTAATATTTTGTTGTGAAAAGCTGCCCTTAGAAACTTAAACAAATATATTATTTTGTGTGTGTGTGTGTGTGTGTGTGTGTGTGTATATATATATATAACCTAAGGTCTCTTAAATATATCCAACAGTTATTTTTTCTAATACAACTATTATTATTGTGTCTCAGTTGTTTTAGTAACAGCAAACTTGTTTTCATGTTTGTTCTTGTAAGCTCTTACATACAATGAAATTATGAAAGAAATAAAAATTAATTTTATTATTATTATTATTGATCAGAATTGTCCATTTTATATATCAAACATGCTCATCAGTTAGTTATATTACTAATTTATCTTTACCTGTTGAAGTAATTTCGTAACTATGAAAATATTGTACATTACAGCTTGCTCTTTTATCTTAGACTTACACTTATATATATACAATATTAGTCAAACTGTATTTTTGGTGAAGCTCAACTCTGTAATAGTTATTTGTTTTCAATAACTCTGGCATTCTTAAATTTGTATGTGTTGTTTGAGTAACAATAACTTTAGTAATACACACAAATAAAAAAGAGAAACTTTTGTGTCCAAATCATTTTATAACTAATAAATATACATTATAGGTTATTTAATGTATGTGCAGTGTTTGAATATGATAATTAATAATTATCAGTACTTTCTAATTACCTAAAGGCTTACTTGAAGTCTTGTTATAGGAGATAATTGTCATTACTTTCAAACAAAGATAATTTAATATGAGAACATTGAAAGAAACTATAAAAAATTTCCTAAGACATATAAACTTCACAATAATATCCTTTATTCACCTATGCAGAGGTTACATCAAACTGTTGTGTTATTTTTACATTGATGTAAATATCTTATCTGTTTTTGCCAGTGGTATTTAATTATTTCCATATGGCAGAGTAAAAGTATGCATGTCACAACCTTTTTTATTGAGTACATTCAAAATTTAATTAAACAATTTTGCTATTAATGTATGTTTTTAAACTTAGCATCAAAACATAGTTTATAATTCAAATTTTTTACATTATCCAAGTTTTAATATTAAAAGGAAGTATTTCAACTTTCAGTCTTCTCTATGTTGCATCACTTTGACGCACCTGGTACTGTAACTTCTTCTTTCATCCCTTTTATTCTTTTCAGATTATCGTACCAATTTAAAATACAAACTGTAAATATTAATAGGCCAGAAAATAAAATAACGTCCTCCTACCTTCTCAATTTACTGAGAATGAATGAAGTTGCCCCACCTACAAATCAGACTCTTTCCATATCTTTGTCTTTTAAGACGTGTCCATAATTCTCTCTCTCTGACATTGCTATTGGACATGTTTATAATCAACGGAATGAGCATATGTTTCTTTACTTGATTCATTATATGGTTATTTCCTTTTATGTGGCCAAACACACAGTTTCCTTGAGATTCTTTGTGCAATCGTTGCCCTATTCAGCTAGAAAGCCAGTTAAATTATATTAGTTTTGAGATATTCTATTCTTGTGCCTGATATATTTGTTTATGTTCTAAAATGTAAAAATTAGAAACATGTTATGTCACATGAAATTTAAATGACAAAAATATTTCTTATGATACTCAATACTATAACTTCATACAACCATGCCACATAGCATCACATGATTGTAACTTGGCTGTGATTTATTGGGTTTCACCTACTGAGAGAGAGGGTCTAGTAGTTACTGTAAAGCAATAAAACAAAACAGATGTGAAAGGCTAGAAAACTGAGGCTGTTCAGATAAATACTTGCAATTGTCAGTTATGATCTGGAGTCATTCTAGAAAAAAAAAGCATTTTTCTTTCATATTTTTCAACGACAACAACAAATAGTATTAGGATAGAGAAAATACGAAATACAGCTTACATAAATAATATTTGATTTTTATTACAAAGTTCTAGAGGTTTTGCAAGTTAAATGCAAAACTATGATGAAAAGAAGTGTTTTTATTCGTAATGAAAACCACCTTTTCTCAGATTGACTCAGTAAAGGCTTTGTAAATTCACATACAACTCTGATAAAAACTAGCTGTGACCTGCAAAACATTTGCAGTAGATTTCATGCCTTGAATTTTTGTATCATTTTCACGCATGCCATTTAAGCTTTCTTGCAGGCATTATGTGTTAGATTGATAAATCCTGGTCTGTTTGGTATTTGGAAAAAGTTTACATAGTCAGACAAACTCACATAGATGTAACTTTATAGAATAAAACTACACTTCAAGTAAACAATAAAGTAATGGTATTTATAATAGTGTACGGAGTATGAAACAGTTATGAGTGTTCAGTGTATGACATAATTTTACGAGTTGAAACAAAGAAACTCACAAAATCGAAGAATAAAACCCATAATAAAGAAAAAAGTAGTTAAAAGGTGTTTATAGCAGTCTATGAAATTACCCAAAGCTAAATTACTGCAAAGTATAGGTAAAGTTGTAATGAAGGCAAACTTAGCTCGATATGCAGAAACATCTGAATGTGTGTTCAGAAAGTGAATAAACACATCGTTTTGAATGAACTGCACATGCATATTTTAGACCTAAATAAGTTGAGAAAGCCCATAGAAATTGTATTTAGTCTAATGTTCTTTTTTTTTTTATTAGGAAATTATACAGAGGTTAAGTGTTTGTGTGAAATACTTTACAAATAAAAAAAAACTAAAGTTGAAATCAAAGCCAGTTGTCACATGATGACAGTGACATTGTGCCATCATGTACAATACTCATTGCATTGAAAAGTTTGACTAAGCAAAAAACAGGAAGGTAATTCTGAATTGAAAACCCAATATGCAATCCAGACTCCTTGGACAAAAGCTTAGTCATTTTTGTAACTTCTGTTAGTTATTAATTAATGAAAGTTAAATACATAAGCTCAGATAACTTAAACCTGTGATTGCATTGCATAAATCTTGTTTATATGTTCCAATATAAATAGGACTGTTGTATTTTACAGCCCTTCTAATTATTTAATGAAAATAATTTTAAAAATTACAAGTTTGTGATGTTTATTACACATTCATTATCTTCATTAGAGTAAATGTATAAAAAGCCTGCCATGGCATGGTGATCGACTTAAACTTCATGGGTCACAGTTTGAGTCCCATCACTGAACATGTTGTCCTTTCACCAGTGGTGGTGTTATAATATGATGACCAGTCATAGTAGCCCAAGAGTGGTGGTGTTGACTAATTGCTTTCATTCTAGTTTGTCATTTCTAAATTAGGACTGGTTAGCATAGACAGCCCTTGAGTATCTTTGCATAAAATTCAACAAACAAACAAGTATGAATGGATGTAAGATAGGCTATCTGACCACTGAATAAAGTGGCATACAAACAATGCATTATGTGGCCATATTCCACATTATGTTGTAAAAACTGTAATAGGATGTATGCACAGTCAAGTAAAAATGCATAAGTAGTAGTAGCTGGCATGTACTAATTTGAATAAGCTTGGTTTAATAGTAAGTATTTAAACATGAAGTGGAGCAGTAGCATCAGATATTTGACTAGAAATGAATTTCACCATTTCATAGGAACCAGAAGCTATATACATTCATATTAACTTAAGTAAAATAGTTTGAATTATGGTTCATTGTTTTTTTTTTTTTTGTTGTTTTTTTTATGTTTCATCTCTTCAAGGTTCCTTATTTTCAAGTGAACTAATCTGTCCATTGACAATGTTTCTTGGTGTATTTGATAGGAAGAAAAAAGAGCACAACTTCCAAAATACCATATGATACCTGGAATTACACAACCAGCAGTAAGCGGTGTTATAATGCCTTCCACTTCTGTGGGCAAGGGTGTTGTGGGTGGGCCAGGTGGTCCTGTTCCACCCACAACAAATTCTATGATGAACGGTATGAATATGATGAGACCTCCAATGGGGATGATGCCAGGTAGGTGGGTTAAAATTGGTGAATGAGAAAGTTAAGGATCCAAATGTAAGTAAATTTGTCAGTATCATATAGTTTTTAGTTGCTTTTCAAATTAGTATATTTAATAGATACTCTAGGTATTTTTTATCGTTTTCTATAATCATGATACTGACAATGTATTCCAGAGAGTATGTAGGAGAGCATAATAAGAAAAGTTGTATTTCTGACACATTAAAGAATCACAATGTGTTAAAATGTGCCATGTTTGGGGATATGTTTTTTATTTGTTCTTCTCCCATTGTATAGTGGTAGGCTTTAAAAATATCCCCAAATGTTGAACAACATTAGGTTTCTATAAAATTTTGTTTTTATTTAAACCATCTGATTGTGAAATAATTTAGAAGCAATATACTTATGATGCTTTATTTTTATTTTGGTTTAGGAATGGCTCCCTTTGCTCACCCAGGACCTATGAATTATCCCCAAGGTCCCATGCCACCCATGATGCCTCGAATGATGCCACAGAGTGGACCGCCTCGTCCATATTAACATCCCTGACAGAAGTAGTAGTTTTCAGATAAGTGATTGTGGAATTAGAGGGATTTGTTTTTTAGTGTGTGATGGAAATTCTGCCACAAGGTGTAGCCAAAAATACACTCTTTTTGAATGTTTTACAGAAAATGTAATGTAGTTTAACCAGAAACTTGAATTAATGTACATCTAGCATTGTTTATTGAGTTTTGTCAAGGCTTTGATTAAAAGAGGTAAGTAGGGTCATTTATGGCGAAAAAAAAGTTGAAAGAATGTGAGTACTGAATTACATTTATTATGATTCATGTCATGAGCTAAAGTCTTATTCAGGTGTTTCACTTTGAAAGGTGAGCACTAAAGTTTTTCTGAGACATCTAAACTGTTTGTATAAATTGTAAGTTACGACACTGAATTGTATATGTGTCACTTCTATGAATAAAGTTATGTATCATGTGATGTGGTCTGACTGTTGAGAATGCTCTTTTGTTATCTAAGGATTGAAAAAAAACTTTAAAAATATGATTTTCTGTTGTGGCTTGATGCATTGAAAACTCGAATATTACAGTGTTGTACTGAAATATTATAACTGTGGCTAAGTTTGTAACTAATTTAATGTTCTGGAGTGTGTTTTTTTTATCTATGTATAATCTTTATAATTTAAAATAAATAAATAGTCTATATATATATATATATATTCAACACAAGCTTTTAAATGCACTTAAGATCAGATTTTTGATTTTATGAAAAGGTAAGATTTATGTGTTATCTTTTTTCTTATATTTTTGCACTGGATTCTAATTCTATGGTTTATCATTGTGATTGTTTGTTTAGGGTGAAGCTAACTAAAAAATGTCAGAATAAAAATATTAAGAGATTGATATGTTTTTCTTTTTTTTTGCTAATTGAATTTGTCAGCTTCCCATCAACTTGAGGTAACTTTATTTTAAGATTTTGAACCAAAATTCACTTTACTTAAACGTTACATCTTCATTCATATTGTTGTGATGTTTATTTGAGAAAACAAGTGGATTATCCACATGAATTTCTTAATTTCATGTACAGAATTTCAATATAATTTGCCTGGAAGTTTGCTACAAAATACTGTAAGTACTTCTTATGTACAACATGTGTTTGCACTGTCAAATTATCTGTTGTTAAGGGTAAAAATGCTGGATTGCATTAGATCTGTCTTTTTAAAATGTCCAATGTTATAAATCTGACCTAAGCAAAATTAGCTGTTGAAAATGTATGAAATGGAAAAAAACATTTTTGGTTTGGCTCAATTATGTAGATGCAACCTGCAGCTCCAGAAATTTTACCTTTAAGAAACTACACATATCTTAAATAATCTTTTGTAGTGTTGTAATCTTCTAAAAGGTGAGGTTTTAATAAATTTATGTTATATTTTTCATTTGTACAAAACATAATAAATATGTTTCAACAAACTCTTTCTTGGCCCCAAAATATCCAGAAGTTTGCAGTTTTGGCACCCATAACAGACGTGAGGTAATTTTGCTTTCTGTAAACTTGTTTCACAGTGATCCTTGTAGAAGGCACTGTTGGACTTAATGTAAGTCCCCAACTTCTTAGGGAAGTTTGGTGAAACTGTTTTATTTTGTCAGTTGTGTAGTTGATATGTTACATGTTAAAATAAAATCTTTCAGTTTTGATTAATATGTTGTTATGAGACTGAATTCTCCTTTTTAATTTCTTATCATACTGTTAAACATTTATTTGGAAATATTAGATATAGTAGGGACCTCTGTTTCTTTTATAATTTCAGTAAAAACTGTTTAAATAAAAAGTCAGTTATGTTTTTCAAATTTTTTTCAATTCAGATCACATTTTGTGATAAGTGACATACACACAACCCCATAATTTGCTCTTGCTTTAGTGTGCTGAAAGAATACTTGGTATCCTCATAATATAATACATAAAAACAATGTTTTGGTTCACCAGTTATCAGGTTACTGTAGTCCTCCCCTTTTCTCTAAGAATAATGTTTTTTGCTTTTCATTGAGTGCACCTTGTATATCATACATATTTCTTTCCATTTCATTGGGTATTCCCTGAAAGCAGAACAGACATTAGAAAAGTGTGAAAGTAAAATTTTAAAATGGCATAATAACAATCAGGAAACTATGCTTCTCGAAAGAAAAAGTTAACATTTTAAAATATACCCAAGTATATAAAAGATACTTTTATGAAGCATGAAAGTTTATACCGTAAAATATAAGAATGTAGCATTTGTATGTCAAAGATTTGGATTATTTTTAATGTAAGCTATGTTAGTTGAGCTAAAAGAAAAACAAAAATGAAAAACTACATTAAAATTGTATTTTCTGGACAGTAACACACACTGCTTTATTTGAAAAAGTTCCATAAAGTATGGTATATCATAAATTAGTTTAGTATGTTTAACTACTTTGTATAATTATGTAAAATATAACTTATTCTACAAAGTGATGAGTATTAGTTAATATTTTTTATCTTTCTGAAACTTGTTATACATACATTTTTAATAATGTGATGAAATCCCACATTTTTTTTTATCCTATAGCTTTTCGAACCACTTTCATCTCATGCTAATTATAAAGTACTTTCTATAATATTTTAGAGGGAACAATTTTTTTGCATCAGTAAAGCATAAAACATCTTAATTTATTAAGTTAATCTTTATATTTCTTGATATTTTATAAACTTTTAATTTTCAAATTTAGTCTTGAAAATTAAAAAAAAAATTTTTTTAATTCATCTTCACCATTTCTGTGTGTTATGTCTTCCAGATGTATTGCATAATAAATACAACAGCCTTCTGAAAGACTTTGTAACCCTAAATATTAACTGGCAGTCTGTAATGGGATTGTGCATTTGTTCATCTAAGGTCCTAAAATTATTAGTAATATTGTATTAGATGATACTTCATTAAAAGTTATTTCTTCTGATTAACAGTTTACAGAAAATGGTCATATTTGTTCTCACATTATATATTATGCATAAGGTAATAAATATAAGAACCTCATGAAGTATTACCTTTCTTTTGTATTATCCAACACTGTTGTCTTTGCCATAATTTATTTTTCAACTGGACATTTTTCTATTAACTTTGAAAGCATTCATCACAATATATCTGCCACATTTACTTTTAATGAGGTATGTTGCTGACCAAGAAACAATCTCTGCTGTCAGGATATATATAGATTTTAAAAATTAAACACAAGGTTCAGTTTTTCTCAAAATGACCTTCAGCCAAACAGGTATATGAATAGTAGTAAAACACAGAAAAATGAGTTTACAGCATGTTAGAACTATATAAATATTACGTTTTTTTGTCCTTCTCTTAGTTTATAGTTGGGCCAAAAATTGGACTGAAAGTTTGCTATTTAAGTTTTAATTTTCTCCAAGAATTTATTTCATGTGTCTTACTGTAGTTATTTCCTAGGTTTCAGTGATAGCATTCAGTGATTAGATGAATGAATAGTTAAGCTAAAGGTCAGAACATATGTTCAGTTTTACCTGTTTCTGGAGCTCATTTGAATTTCAATAAATGTAGTATATTTCATATTTAACTTGGAAACATCATATGCAGAACAATATTCTTGTAATTAGCTATTACTTCCATTTTTTATTAGGTTCTTTCAAATAAGTTTTTGATTTTTAAATAGTTTTAGTGATTAGAAGAAGTTTGAAATTCAACTTAAGTGTTCTTATCTAGTTTTTATATTAGAATAAATAATAATAATATTCTTTATAATACAGTAAGAATTAATTTGCTCTTCTAATGTCTGTTTCAACTTTTAGGAATTTCATTGTGTAACATCATGTGCTACCTGCCATTAAAAACATACCAGTTTGATGATATCTGAAGTGGAAAACATAATATTCATGTTATGAACAAAGTTACATAATAATTCAACCATGAACACTTTTCTAGACCAGATTTTTATCAGATTGTTTACAAGTTTAGATAGCCATCTATTAAAATCAATGTAGCATATACATATAATTTGTGTTCATCTTCTAGTGCTCAAATAAGTTTGTTAATACAATGAAAAACAATAAGAATAAGTTGTATATTATGATTTCCAAATATAAGTACCGTATTTGATGGCATATAGGACGCATGGGTATATAAGACACACCCCCTTTTCAGCAGGTCAGATTCAGGAAAAAAGTTTTTAGTGTATTTAAGCATTTATTGGTGAAAGTAATCTAACAGCTCATTACACGGAGCACGCAGTAGCATTCCCTATTGTTTGCTTGTAATTTGCCTCTATCTCTCTCTTCGCTCACTGATTGGCCGTGCATTTTTCGAGTTGTTGACACAAGTTGGTCGCTATATCAAGTTTCACAGTAAAGATAAAACGACGTGACGAAACCTTGTTTCTGAAGGGACAAGCGTTTGCACTTTTAAGAGATAGACCTTCCATCCTTTAACAGGATGCTGAAAATTCGACTGCGTCTGGACTATGCAAATTTCCTATTTCTTATTTCGTAGTTGGAATGCTGTACTGGTTGTATGCTAGGATAGTGAGCGTTAGGAAGAATATTAGCCTGCAGGGCAATTTTTTGAGCCAAAAGTTTGGGAAATAAGTGCGTCCTATATGCCGTCAAATACGGTAAATAAAAGTTTAAGGGGAAATGCTGAGACATTTACTGATATTTGTTTTAATTAATTGAAAGCAGATATAATAATATAAGTGAATTGAAGTAATATGAAGACAATATTAAAATATGAATATTATCTACCTTTGTCTATGAACTACCCTAACAAGTACTTATAAGACTCCATGTTCTTTAATTTAGTCTTAATGTATTGTTGGTCAGGATTTATCTCTAAGAATACAAAGTATCTGATGAGAACATTGTATTTAGTAATTTAATAATTTTATGCTTGGTTGGTGAAAAAAAAATTAAATGTGTAGGTTGTTTAGTTTCTTTAATGCAAAAAATAATTTAAATACTTAAAAAATGTTGAAGGGAAAAAATGTTTCAGAAATCAATATAAATGATTTTTTCAAAAATATGCTAGTAGCATTACAATTTCTCCAACTTCACCAAAATTACCGAATAATTCTAATAAGTGACATTTTCTTGTTTTATTAGCACATCAGTATTTATAAATCTTGTGTCTTCTTATTGACAGTACACAGTATTGTTAAATCTTGTGTCTTTTTATTGACAGTACACAGTATTGTTAAATCTTGTGTCTTTTTATTGACAGTACACAGTATTGTTAAATCTTGTGTCCAGACTGTTCGCATAGTAACATAAAAGTACATTTTGAACTACTTGTAGTCATGCTTTATATTAAGTGATGTGGTGTTGTTATGGATGTAAACCTATGGTATTTGGTAAGTGTTAACATTAATTGTAACATTTGTATGCTGTTTTATTTGAGTATAGAACTGAGATAAAGCATGTCATAAGGTGTTTTTTATTTATTTATTTATTTTATTTTTTTGATGGATTCCTTTAGGAATTGCTGGCCCTCCAGAGGACTCATCTTTTCAGAGTGGGTGTTTTTATTTTTCTGTTTTTGTTTTATGGGTTTCACAGCACACAGGCTGTTGGACCTCAGGTCCCTAGCTCCTTTTAAGTGGGAGGTTTGGCGAAACCCTTTAGTTAATTTTTTTAGCAAACAAGTAAGGTTGTGATTGTGTTGATTTGCTTAGAAATATATAAGAGAACTTAGTATTCCTGGCATTTGAAAAGCTATGATCAATTGAAATGGCTAAACCAAGATGTATTAATCCTTAGCATACGAGTAAATATTCTTACAGCTTAACCCGATGACCACCGGCTACTAACTTACTGAGTACTCAATGCAAGTCTTGCTATATTTCATTCCAACAATAAAACTAGTAGATGAAACTGTTTGAAACTTCATAAGAACTTTCATAAATGCATGTAGTTTAACTTGAGAAACATAAAGCCTGTTACTTTTGATAAATTTAGTTAGATCTTTAATATCTTGGAAAATTACATTAGGAAATGATATTTATAAGAAATGATTATGATATTTATATTTGTTCCGGATTTGAACTTATTACTTTTTATGTTTTAGTACATTATTTTGAAATCCCCAAAAATTTGTATCGTCCATAAAATGCAAATTTTATCTATTTTAATTTTTTTTAATAATCATTGATCTCCTTATGGTTTCAAGTAATATACAAGACCCAAAAATAATATTTGTAAATAAACCTAAACATTAAATAAGTATTTTTAACTAGGATTTCAAGTTTGTTTCATTGCAGCCATACTTTTGTTTATTGTGCCGAATAAATTATGAGGTTAGCAGCGTGAACTTCGTACATTTGCCGTAACCTATCATGCCTGTTGGTGGTCACTCACATTCAGTCCAGCGCAGGCCCATTTCAACATTACTGTAGATACAATAGTAAGAAAGCTTTTCGGTACTTGAATATCATTTCTTTGAACTTTCAAACAAGTTTATTTCAACATATGTCCGTGTATGTTGTTTCACTATACAGACAAAACTAATTGCCACTACTAGCGTATGTATCTAATAGTTTACAGTACAGATGGTTTGAATGACACTGCCTGACCCTAGTTACTTGATACATCCTGTTAGAAGAGATTACCAAATGATACAGACACCATAAATTACAAAGAAAGTTACTTTACAACACTTAAAAGATTAGTCCTGGTCACATTCCTCCCATTATAGGCAAGATTTATGTTGAAATTTGAAACTTATGCTCTTCAGTGTATTGAGACCCCAAATGTGAGAATGTCATAGCTTCCCTGTATTATTGAGATGAATGTATTTAGTTTGTTTCACAACCAACGTATGGGTTTTATTGTTGTCACTTGTACACCAAGTTTTGAACCATTTGCAAAATACCAGAACAAACTTTATATGTATCAGTTAGACTTTTAATTCTAAAGCAATAACAACAGAAGTGTGGGTCTTACTACAAAGTGAAGATTGTAAGAAGGAAAAATATAAAATTCTTATGTGGTACTGGTACTAGTAGTATTACATACAAATCACAGAAGTTTATCATTCTAAATACTGAATCATATTATTATTATTATGAACTAAATATACAATTATGCTAAATTATTGAACTTAAAACTACAAATTTAAATGCAAAAGAATATAAAAAAATCACAAATTCTTTCAGTTCAAAGTGTTAAGCCTAATTCATGTAAAGATCTTGCACTCGATAGCTCTTAATCCTAACAATCGTGGATCAACTTTTTTTTCCTAAAAAATATATTTATTTTGGGTTAATTTTTCAATATAATGATTAATATAAATAGGTATACGATGCAGCATGACTTAAGCTACTATAGAAAAATAATAAAAGTCATGTACATCCCATGCAGTTTTTTCTAGAAGCAAGTTTTCTAATGCTTATAGAAAAGTACTATTGGCCAGTACTAAATACAGCCTCTACATAAGCACCACCCACATTCATACTTTAAAATCTAGAGAACAATGATTCATCACGTTCTTTGCTTATCATCCTATGATTTGTCAAATGTGAAATACAGTGATTGGAATAACATGGTACTGAAATTGACACCTTTGACTAGGATTGGCTAAAAGTTTTACAACTGAGGTTTAACACGCCCCACGCTGTTTTATAAAGAAAACAGACTAGAAAAAGGTTTAAATACCAATCATAGATGGCAGGACCAGTGCTGAAGTGGAAGGAAAATGTTTTTTAAATTTTTGAAAACAAATTTTCTTCTTAGAAGGTGCTTATTTACACTCTCAAATGTATTTTAGGTTTTTTTTATTAAATTTCTTTTTAAACTACATTAAATAATATCATTTTGTACAAATAATTGAATGTTATACTACTATTTACAAGAATAAAATCTGAAATCCAATAAAAGAGGAGTTCTCTAATGTTTTTCAATTCATAAATGTGAGTTTGTCCTCACAATAGGACAAAATGGCCCCAGTAGGTAATTACTTCACTTTTGCTGAGATATCAGTAAATCTATCAAAGCCACCAGAGAAGACTCAAATCTCTTTCAATATAATTGTATAATCACTTGTACATGGTCAATGGGCATATTTATACAGTGAAAGAAATATTAAGTCGTCTGTGTAAATTTTACAACCCCCTTTTCTTTTTGCCTGTTTGTACTGTAAAACTGTATTAAACAGAATTTGTTGCTTGTGGATGTACATAATCTAATGATCTGTTCATTTAAGGAATTTTTTAACCTATTTTTGGCTCACTTGGAAATTCAGATAATTATAGTAATTTTGGGTCATTTTATTCTAGGAACCTAAACATTTTTTAAGTTCTATAATGCATATAGAAAAGCTAAATGACTTTTTTTTTTTTTTTTTTGATACCTAAATTTGGTAGACTCAAAGAGGCTTACCAAGAAAGTTTGCTTGAGTGGAAAAACTGCATCTATTTTGCGTGAGTACTATATGCAGGTTTTTATGTATATTATTACTTGTAGTAAATGAAATGTAGAAGATTAGAAACTTCATAAATTAGGTTACAAAACTTATATAAGATAAGATGTTTAAAATTTCCTGAGCTCAGTTGATGGGGAAGGTAAGTTCACTGTATGGTCATGGATACAATTCAATCATTTGTTTCCTAACCTCTACTAGAAACATCTAAATGAGCTCCTGCTGTGATTTATTGCTTTTCACATGCAGCAGTTGGTCCAGAATACATCAATAAAAACCATAAAATCAAAAGAAACCAGATGTGAAAACATTAGAAGTTGAGGCTCTGAGAATAAATAATTATAATTATTTGTTACAATCTGCAGCCATTCCAGAAAAAAAAAATAGTATAATTAATTTTATTTCATATTTTTCAACTTTTTGTTTCTTTGTATACTGACAAGTTCTCTGCAGTTAGTGTTAGGGTTGAGAAAATAAGAAATAAGGTATAATGGTTTACCAAAAATCATTGATGCTCATTTAGGAAGTTCTAGTAGTTAAGCAAATGAAATATGAAAACTGTAAGGTGAAATTAAGTATTTTTTGTTCTTAACACTCGGATTGATGCAGAAAAGTGTTTGTAAATTCATACATAAATCTTTAATAAAAAGAATTCATTAAAAAATCTGATTTTTTTAGTACAGCAAACTTTAAATGTTTACTAAAAATTTGCAGAATTTCATGAAGGTACACATAGTAGATTCAGACTTATAGTATGTATAGTTTCATGGATACAAGGTAGTTCCAGGATGGATTGCATTTAGCAACTTTGTCCAAAAAGAGTTAAATTATTCTTAGTTTCTGAACACTTTAGGTAAAATGGCATATTTTTTTTGCTGTTTGGTTTTACTAATATATCAAGCTGTTCATAATGGATGTTTTAGAGTTATAGTGAAAAAAAATTCATAAAAAATGATCAACAAAAATGCTTCATAAAATTAACTCTCCACTTTTTGTAAAAATTGGTTAGTTTGTGTTTATAAAAGATTAAATGTTAAAAACAAAATCCTGTATGTTAGAAATAATATTCAACTAACAAAACGTAATTACAATAATAAACTATTACACAACCAAAAGGAATGTTTACTATGCATCTATATTTAACTCAAATTCTATATATCAGTCTATCTCAACCTGTGTTCTGTGTGCTCCTTTCAGGTGATCCATAGAAAGATTGGATAATTATGAAAGGGGAGCGGGAGCATGTGTATAGATCAGTGTTCAATGAAGGATAAAAATGTCAATTTACTATATATTATTGTTGAGCATCTCTTGGCATGACTGAAATGCTCAAAAATTACTTTTGCAGTGGGTGTTATTAGTAGCTCAGAGCTTCGGCTCCGAGTCAAACTAAGAGTACAACACAATTAACCCGTTTAAAGTCCATGAAATAATTTAAATTGATAGAATAACTCTGTCTATTCAAATTTTCCAACCTAAAAGAAAGATTCCACAGATCTTTTATAGTTTGTCATCAAGTCAACCACTTATAGTTCAACAGAAAAACTGTATCCCAGCACCCCCCCCCCCCAAAAAAAGACCTCTATTCAGTCTAAATTGATTTAAAACCCTTTCTCCTTAAAAATTCTGTTCGAAAATGCCTCAAAAAAAAGATCTTATGCAACACAAAGAAAAAAAAATGCCAAAAGAAAGAGAGAAGAGAGACAAAAATGAGATGGAAGAAGAAAGAGCATCTTGGTTGGAAAGTAATAGTGTTGATTAAGTTTTAAACTTGAATTGTTTCGGAATCATGCTATTTGCTGTTATATCACCAACATTTTCAATAAAAAAACAACATACATTTAATGGAGACTGAAGTACTACAATAGCCATTTTAGTAATTGAAGTGCTTGAATCTTGTAATTCGTCTTCAGTTGAACTGGTATTTTCGTCATTTGTGTTTTCTAATCAGAAGTTTTTGAAGTTAAACTGGTATTTAGTATTCATACTGAAGTGCTTGAATCTTCAATCTGTGTTCAGTGGAATTGGTATTTTGGTCATTGTAGTTTGTAATCAAAAAGAGGCATAAAAAAAACAACTTTAACACTTAGGTTATCAACCTTTCATCATTTATCACAAATGTTTACAGCAGAAAATGACACAATCTCTACTGTTTTAACATTTGGGAATAGATTAAAAAACTCTTCTAACCTGGCAACTTCAAAATGGCTCCAATTGGATTGAAGCTGTTCTAAATGACAGTTCTAAGCCTGCTATGGGGAGGGGAGGAGTTTTCTAAGTATTTTATTTCATGGTCTTGATTGATCTGGTTAGATATAAGGGTAGCAACTTTTCATGTCCTAAGCCAACCTTTCATTAATCATGAATTTACATAACTTCCATCCAGGGTTAAGTACTCCAGCTAGTTTTCAATATTTTTCTTACAGACTGTCACTGGATAAACTGGCAATACGAACACATCTTGAACATCTAGTAAAGTAAATGTAAGCAAAATGTTTCTGAATAATCTTGAAGTTTGTTAATAACACTGTGTTATTTGATTAAAATGTAAATAATAATGTTTATGTTATTGTAATGATAATAAAGTAATAATATTAATTATCTTGAAGAATAAAGATTGCCAATCAAGTTTGATTACTTCACTCCCATTCGCTCACTTTGTTTTCTAAAGTACACCTTGTATACAATGTATTTTAAATACAGTAAAAATTTTCATGTTTATAAAGTAATAATATTAATAATCTGGAAGAATAATGAATGCCAATCACTTTACAGTGTTGTTGTCACCATGGCTTTATTTATATTTTTGCTCAGTTTATATCAGTCTTTCTCATCAACACAAGTGTTTCGTGTATGAAGTTATGCATTGTGTGTCTTACTATATAATCATGGACTTTTCAAGCAAGGAGTGAAACAAAAAAGAGTTGTGCTAAAGTTAATCAGAAAATAGAAATTTTTGAACACATTGAGAAAGGTGAGAGTCACAGTGTCTTGGTAAGAGAATTCCATATTTGTTCATCAATTTTGTATGATATAAAGGCTTGGAAAGAATACGTAATGAAATTCTATGCTGAATTGGAATCAAAGAAAAATGTGGGTAAAAAAGGAAAGCTGTAAAGAAACCTAAATTGGAATAATTAAACACTGTGCTCAGTGAATGATTTAAGATAAAACAATCAGAAAGTGCACTGATTTCAGGAACAATGTTTATTTAGAAGGTTAAATAAACAAATGAAATTGACAGATAAGTGTTCTTTCTCTTGTGGCTGGCTAGCTGACTTTGAACTTTGGCATGGCATTACAAGATTAGATGTTTTTGGTGAGGAAAAATCAGCAAATCATGAGATAGCTGATAATTATTGTGGCCTATTTTCAACTCTTATTGGGGAGCAAATCTGTAATGCAGATGAAACTAGTTTCTTTTGCTTGCTTAGTTCCACTTGCCGGTTCATTGCTTCTAGATTTAAATGCAACAAAGGTGGGCTAACTGTGCTGACTTGAATAAATGCTGCTGGTATTTACAGGCAGAAATTGCTTGTTGGTAAACACAACTAACCTAGATCATTTAAAGGTGTCAATCATTTGCCTGTATTCTATAACTGGTTTTCAATTTTTTTTTCACAACCCAGTAGAAAAAAACACACTTATCTCTGCAATCCAAAACAATATCAGAACTTGTCATAAAATCATAATAGGGCAATAAATGCTATCTTAAACCACTTAACTTCAACTAGTATCTAAAATTAGGTATTGACATTACTTGTAAAACAGTAAAATAAATGATTAGATTGAGTTTCGCTTACCTAAAAACGGCTACTTGCATATCTGGTGTGCTGTTGAGTTGGCTTCTTTCTTTTGTTTTTAATCTTGTCCAAGTCAAATCCTAGTATGCACATGTAGGTTATTGTCAATGGTAGCAACAACAAGACACTTACCGTACTCAACAGTGGATATTTTTGAAAACAGTGATCCAAAATTATGACAAATGTAATAGTTAATGAAGTGTTTTCAATTTGGTATTACAGATGAGTTGTAGCAGCTCGTTTTATTATTCAGGCATCAAGTTTACTTTAGCTCCATTATTGATTCAGGATTTGTTAGAACAAAAGGATTTTTCACCCAACTCTTTTTTTTTTTTTTCCCCTGCATATTTTGAAATTTCAACAGGGAATTAGTGACTAAAACTGTCAAACAGTGCAGTGAGATGTAACTGTCAAACAGTGCAGTGAGATGTAACTGTATAACTCTTTTCATTCACATTTTCTTCACTGGTGGTGTTTTCTCAGTGTATTGTAATGGTTTTGAGAACCTGTAGTATCTTGGGCAATTACTTTTCATTCGAGCTTGTCACAATTACTTTTGGAATGCTTGTATCAGTTTACATTGTCAATATACATCATAGTCTCTTTCTTGCAATAACTTCAAATTCAGTTTGTTTAAAATTGAGAAAATATCGTCTAGATATGACAACTTTATGAACAAACTGTCATTGTCAAACACATTTGCCAAGTTGGACTGTTTTTCTTCTACAAAAACCTGAATCTCATTCTTGATTCATACATACTGGGAAGCACCCTGCCCTATGAAAGATACAATACTTCTGTGTGAAACAGTAAGTGGGTATATTCTGCTCCCATTTCTGAGCATGACACATCAGAAAGTCTGCTATTCAATGAGCTTTCTTTAATGAAATTGACCATTTTCACAATGCATTTTAGCACTGCCATAAGATCAGGTGGAATACCCTTGGCTACCAAATCTTTGTGGTGAATGAAATAGTGATTCCAAACTATCATTGCCAGCTGCCTCAGACATTTTTTCCCAACCACTTTTGTTTCTGCCTGTCATATTAGTTGCACCATCATTTGTAATTCCTTTACAATTAGCCCAGTCCATCTTGTATTTTCCAACTACACAGTCATTCATTACTTTCAATATCTGTGCCCCTGTTGTTGGTAAAGTCAGACAACACAGCAAATCTTCCATTAAATCAACTTGTTACATATACCTCACATAAACTAACCATGTTACACAATTTGAAATATCTGTACTCTCGTCAAGCTGTATATTACAAAATCCTAAGCTGAGTGTAAACAGATAATAAGCTGGGCTTCTAAATTCTCTGCATTATCGTATATTTATTGAGACATTGTGTTATCACTGAAAGGAATGAACTTCAGTTTTCAGCAGAATTCTTATCATAATATATAGATGATGGAAGAATAAGTTTTTTGGCTACTGTATGGAGTATTTTCTGTTTTGTCATACAGTATGCAACTAAATATGATGCTAATTGTGGCTTATTCAAAGTACTTGACTGACTGGGAACTTTCACTAATAACTTAAGTCCCCTTGGCTTTCTCTGGAAATATTCAAGAGGCTTATCCATGAGTTTTGCATGTTTTGTTTCTAAATGTCTTTTTAATTTCAATAATTTAAACTCATTTGAAAACACGAGTACAAATAACACACCGAGGCTGTGGGTCTTGACTTGCATTAGTCACCACTATACTGCATTGTACACGATTTTGTTTTCTTTTTACTAGGAGGTTCAGACGGTGTCGACATGGCAGACATCTGCTCATTTTTACTCATTTATAGGTGGATTTGATGACTATATTTTCAAACTTATTATTATTATTACCAGATTATTCAGTACGTGTATCCACAAAAAGCAGTTTTCTTACTGATTACGCTCAAAGTGACTGCGTTGTGTACACCTTTAATGAGTATTGCATAAGACTAAAATGCTCTGAAAACAAGTCTTAGTGAAATATGTTACTTATCTTACATTTAATTATTGTAATTTTATTTTAAAACTGTAATGAAAGACATTGTAAGAGATCATTTAAATATAAACTTGCAAGCAACCCAGTACTTAACATTCTGTGATCCAGTATTGGGTTGCATCCTGTACTTTGAAAGCCACTGGTGTATAAGGCATGAAATAATGCATGGATGGATAAAGAAATGTTTTGTAATTGGTTCCAGCACTGCTTTGCTTCAGAGGTGAAGGAGCATTTCTGGAAGAGAAGAATAGCAAAGGATAGCAAAGCTATTCTTTTGCTAAACAGTTCAGGGTTCACCCTCATGAATCAGAACTAACTTCAGGCAATATTTTTACCACCTATCTGCCTGCTAATGTGACTTCATTAATCTAACTGTCAGTTCGGGCATTATCCAGAATATGAAGTGCTATTACAGAAGTGATTTCCTTAGAAAATTGGTCATTAGTGGGGGCAGTGTCAGGAAATTCAAGCTGGCTTTAACATCAAAGATGCCATCTTTTTGATCACCATTACCTGGAATGTTGTAAAGAATGCCAGCAGGAAGCTGTGGCCAACAATTATGTTGGAAGTAGAATTTGAAAGCTTCAGTATTAATTCAAAAAATGATGTTTCTAACATTATAGATTTTGTAGCCAATGCACCAGCTTCCACAACAGTAGTTGACTTGGAAAATGAAGAAATTCAAGAATGGCTTCAGACTGATGCTAGCATCGAAGTTACACTGACAGATCAAGAAATAGAAAGTGTTATCAATCCCAAACACAAGTAAATGAAGGAGAAGAAGCAAGGGAAAAGGTTGCAATCTTATGGGCTTAATGTGATAGTCATTTACAAAGTGGCATCAAATTTTGGGAGAATCTAGTGTGTTTTACAGCACAGGAAGTAATGCACTTGATTTTCCTTAAAAAAAAAAAAAAGCAGGAATTTACAAAACAGGCATATATTCTCAACCTGTTCAAAAAAGCTGCCAGTGTGTCAACAAACCAACACTGGTAAAGCACCAACTGACATTATTTAGGGTGTCTCTGAAAAGTGATGTGTGGATTTTAAACCCTGAATTTAAAGGATGTTTATGCTGTTTTAAGATGTGTATTTACAACCTGCATTTATTAGGGTAATTTTTTTATCACAGTGTTTTGTTCTTTAAATACATTGCGATGTTTTCTTAGCCTTTATTATTGCTTATGATTATTGTTAATGTTGAAGTACCACCAGAAATCTTGTTGTAAAAAATAGTTTGATAGTCTCATTAATATTGTTATTTGTTGGTGCTGGATTAATTGTCACTGCCTTGGTCCCAAAGATGCTGGATAATAAAGCATATACTGTAGTGATAGTGAAGACTTACAGTGGCTGTAATATTTATGTGCTTGTTGTTTTTTTAATAAATGTAAACTAATGATTATATCATATTAGAAAGGTTTTGACACTTTTTTTGTCACAAGGGCTAATTTTGCAAACAAAAATACTTAGTTTTCTATTGTAAGCTTTAAGTAAATAACTTGAGTCATCAGACTAGATATATCATGCACATGTACACAGCTGTGAAGAAAATGAAATTTTTAAGATGTACCCTACTTACAGTAGCTTGTTTTAGCCATTTCACTCATTACTAGTTTACCAAGATTTGTTGTTGAAATATATGTGTAAAGTTATTTACCTCTTTTAGTCAACATTGATAAACCATTTGTTCTAATTGTTCTAAATTTACAGTAGTAATTAAGCATAAGAGCTCATTCTAATTATAACAATAAAATAGAACCATGAAAACATGTTTCTTGCATTTTGCAGGGATGATGTGGACAGTCTACAATACAAACAAAGTTGGTGATATTTTTGCTTTTAGGATATAGCTGCATATTCCTATGGGTTTCACAGTGTAGTTTTAACTGTTGAACCTCGATCCTCACTTTGTTGGTGAAACCTTGGGATATGATGTTTAATCTATAATAATTAAGTTATTGGTAAATAAATACTGTATTGCTCCACTCCCCATGCACGCACTCTTATTAGCATTGAAATCAACAAATCAGGTATGAAAAATAGAATCCGGAACTGCACAAATACTATAATTACGCCCCCCCCCCCCCGAGGGTGTTAATTAGGGGCAATACAGTATGTTGTAGTTTTGTTAAGTTTTTAGAGTAAAATATTCAGTATTGCAAGTGGCAGCCTTACTTTTTAAACTTCATTTCTAATGAGAAAGTAGTAGGAAAGTACAGTAAATATATTTAACATGAAGATATTTTTATTCATTTTAGACTGGCAGAGTAGTAAATTGTTGAAACATCTCGGTATTTTTGTAACATTTTATGTGGTGTAGTTTGTGTTAAGCATGTAACACCTTACCTGCTGCAGAGTTTACTATGTTAGATAAAATAACCATATTTTCTAGCCTCAAATAAACATATAATTTAGTGATAATAAAATATATAGCCATGCTTTCAAGAGTGTAGCAGCCTTTATATATACTAAATCTAAATAAATAATTAAAAAATCCATTACCATATTACACTTCTTACTGCCAAATATGGGGGGGGATTGGACAACATCAACCACACTTTCACCTTAAAAAATACCTATTCAAACTGTCTCTCTTGCTTACGTATAAATATCGATTATTAACCTATCTGAGCTGCAGATAGCTATTTCGATGGACATTGCATTTCAAAAGTTGTCATTTTTTTCTTAGTTTATTATCTAAAGCAAGCATAAATGTATATTTATCACTATTTTGTTGTTTCGGTGCATGAAACAATTCTAATATCATTTGCATCTGGTCTAATAAGTTATGTAAGTAAAATTAATGATTAAAATGCCAATTTTAAGTTTTTATATAGCTTGCATTAAACGGAGATGAGAATTGGCCGACATTTGGTGGATTTCTATTGTCAACTTGACTATCCATCCGATTCATTTAAATCTTGTAATAAAAATTTGGATGAAGGTTCTGATACCTGTAGGCCCAATCTGAGGTACCTTAACTGCTTTGATGTTTATACTGAACCATGATTGATATGTGGGTTCCTTTTAACTGGATAATTGATGGACAGCTGACCAATTTTAAAATGTGTGTTGAAGCTGCAAGTATTCAGACAGCTTGAAAATATACATACTCCTTAAATTTCAGTGGCAGGTGCTTGAAAAAGGATCAACATAGAGGTAGGCTTGAAATCTTTTGCCATCCAACTTAGTAATGTGCAATTTTCACCCACTTCTTTAGAATTACATAAAGTAGACATTTTTCTTTAATTGGATATTGTGTTTGAAATAATTTAGATAGAGATAGACATGATACAATGAAAGCTGGCGGGAGCAAGTATATTAAAAAATTATTGAAATTGTTTTTGATAATTGTGGACTTTTTGGTACAGATGAAAACATTAAAATCTCATTAAATTTCAAAGACTCAATTATATTCAGGAATTCATGTTTCACAAGTTATTTTGTATTGATTCAAAGAATCTGGCCATGCATTATATTACAATACAGAATTTATAGATCTCACAAAGTATTTTATAACGTCTATAATTAGTATATATGTTTTTGAGTCAAAAGTATTAAATTTTATAACATACTAATACATCTTTGTACTTGTGTCTTAAATTCAAGTCTGAGACTGTTCAGCTAATTTTGTAAAGAAAATTAAAATCAACTTTTGCTTCTTAATGATCAAATGCACGGTATGCCATTACATTATCATTTCCTTTTATTAGTAAAAATTTACTAAAAAAGATTTTAAAGCAAAACTGATACGTATTCTAGCATGTATCAGTTGTGCTTTAGAATTGATAAAAAAAATGCTTACATAGTACTTCATATCTGCCTTTTAAAATACCCAGTTTGCTAATGATTGGTCAGTAACTTGTCTTAGTGGAAACTGAATTCTTTAAGTATTATCTGAATATGTCATGAAATGATCAGTTTTTACTTGTCCAATCATTACAATTGTAAACATTTGTATATTTAGTATCTGTCTTAAATGTTTAATGAAATGACTAGTTTCATGTTAAGTAATCTGTAATTGTGATCATTAAAACATGAATTATTTGGAAAAATTCATTGTTTACTTACCATCCTAGTAGTAAATACAATGATTATTTATTGCCCCAAAATGACCAGAGAGGACATAGACCACTCTGGCATGTGTGGTCTTAAATAGTCCCTGGCCTTTATGTGCCAAAAGTTTAATTTATTATTTTCTTTCCTGGTTAAAAGTTAACATCATAGCTTTTGTTTATATTGTTATTTTTCTCTAGAGTATAATACATGTATATAACAACAGAAGGTGTTTGTATCATGTTTCTTTAATATATTACATTTTATGGTTTGACTTAAGTATTTTTCATTTACAACTTGGAAAGTATTTAAATGTTATAATCATTTTTATTATTTTGTTTGAAAGAGAGAACAGAACAATTTACTATGCCCTTCTTCAGTGTCTGGTGAGAAAATGGTTGTTTTTTTTCAAGTAATTCTTATCAGCATTGTTTCACAAAAAAAAACAAGTTCCATAGCTTCTGTTGTAGACAAATCTAGAAATATTTAAATGAATTAAAAGCAGAAGAAACAATTAAAATCAAGTTCAAGAAAAAACACAGCTATCAAACAGGAACAATGTTCATTATTGTAGGAATCAATTAAAATCAAGTTCAAGAAAAAACAGCTATCAAACAGGAACACTGTTCATTATTGTAGGAATCAATTAAAATCAAGTTAAAGAAAAACACAGCTATCAATCAGGAACACTGTTCATTATTGTAAGAATCAATTAAAATCAAGTTCAAGAAAAAACACAGCTATCAAACAGGAACACTGTTCATTATTGTAGGAATCAGTTAAAATCAAGTTAAAGAAAAACACAGCTATCAAACAGGAACACTATGTTCATTATTGTAGGAATCAATTAAAATCAAGTTCAAGAAAAAATAGCTATCAAACAGGAACACTGTGTTCATTATTGTAGGTTGTTTTTCTCAAAGGGTTGAATAAAACTTGAAATTCTAATTTGTTATGATTCTGTTAGGGAATCAAGAGTAATATATTTCAGGTTTTTAAGAAATTTACTGAAGTGAATTTCTCATTAAACAAATATAAAACATATATTAAGAAATAGTAAAGTTATCCTCAACGTACAGGTAAACTTGGTATATAAATTTAATTTCTTCAAAAACATTAATATGTAGGTTTTATATAATTTGCTAGAATTTATTTTATTTTGCCTTTTTCTAGATTTAGCCAGTTAAGTGTAGTGACTCCTTACACATGATGTGTTATTACTTCCTATAAAACGTTTCTCTTTGTTAGTAAACTTGAATGAATTAGGTTATAGCTGATGTAAGTGGCCTAAGAAACTACAATTTAATATCTGTTTATTTGCATTTATATTACAAAAAAAAAGAAACATTATTGATAACTTGCAGAAATACCGGCCCTCCGGACAGGTATAACTGCTAGTTTCTGCGGCCTTTTCTGGAATTGTCTGACAGTTCTACAACAATGTACTCATACTTGAGATTCAACAATGTTCGCCATCCACGAGATAAAAAGATTTCATTGAGATTTTAGTTTAAAAATGAGCTATAATCACAGCATTACATCACAGAGTAGATTTTATTTAAGTAATCCTTTGTATCAATGAAAGTGCCTTACTTTTCAAACTGTTGCAACACTCATGAGATTTTCACTAAAGAAAAATAAATAATTTTTTTAGTTTGTTTTTTGACTGTTTTATATTCGAAACTTACTCCTTTTTTGTAATTTTTATTGGTTAAATCTGAAACATATATAAATTTTGGGGAAATTTCAGTTGTTTTATTTATTGCTCAGCTATAAAAATATTACCCAGTTATGATCGGTGCGGAAGTTTCCGAGATCCGAGTTTTGGACTTATATATCGCAAGCTCCACGATAAAAAGATTTAAGCTCATTATTGATCTGAGAGAAATAACCGGATATCTCTACATTAATTTTCATCATCATAATAAGTAAACTACGCAATAAGTAATTAATGAGAGTTTGCCAGATATAACTGTACCATAATGGCTTTCATGCATCACCTCTTTCAACCAAAGTTAATAAGTTTTAGTCCAAGTATCACGTAATCACTAATGGTGTTCAGAATTACATTGACATAATTATCAAAGGACAGAATGGAGTTATGTGGAAGTAACAATAGGTCTTCTTGAACGTTTTAAATTTGGGTTTATCATCATCTGTATAAATAAATATTATAACGTTGTTAGTTGTTAATAAAATGTGATGACATACAAATATAACTTGTCTGTAGTATCCCTCTTTTTGTACATATGTACTAGTTATTACAAATTTGGTAAAGCAATATTTAGTGTAATAATAAACTAAAGTGGTATTTTTTCTCGTGAACCTTTCATGTCGAAAGCTGCACTCAGGTGTCACGTAAATTTGTTTAAGCGGTATGTTTAAACAGCTGCTGTTCTTAAAGATCGTGTAAACTTAAATTGTCCTTCAAAAATAGTTTCCGAGTTAAAAAGAAAAGAAAATTGTAATAATTTTGTGTATTTTTTTGACATTTAAGGTAAGCGAGTATGTGGAAGTGATTTTTAAATTTGGTACTGATTGGTATTAAAAAACATGCTTCGAAATTACTAAAAACGATTTTATATTGTGACATTAAGTTTACTCTTTAAGAATCGTATCCACCCTAGTAATTTTACGCATAGACGTACAAATCTCATGTATTTCAAACAATAATCTAACTTCATAATTGTACTTCGAAAAATAAATATGCTATTAATAGTTTGTAATCGTACTTCTAATGTAAGTGTTAAGTCGGTTTGCAGAATTCTTATATCTCTACAAACTTAAAACTGCACCTTAAGTCTTTAGTTGGGGAGGAGAGACTTAAAAATAAACTGCTTTTGTTATTTTTTTTCTAAAGTCGTGGAGCTGAGAACAATAAGAGTTTCATCAAAGTTAAAATACGCTCTCTTTCATCAAAAGCGCGTGAATGCTTTATTGAAGAAGGTAGATTCGAATCTCGTGACCTTCGTAACACTTTACTAATTGTAAGTTCACCCTAGAACCTACCATTGATTTAAAAGAATGAAGTATTAAATATGTATTTGTTTTAGATCGTACGATTACGCTTTTATTTTGTCCTAAGTATTTTTCAGAGTTATTAAATTTCATTAGGATGTGTCGAAAGAAGGATTACAGCACCCTGACTGAATTCAGATGTTAACCATGCGTAATATATGTATTCAAGACTAAACTAAATCTAAGTTGGCAAAACCTTGTGAGATATTATTGGGATTATGGTCGAAAATATCGTTAACAGCGGGGGAACCTAAATGATGAAACAATGTGTTCTATTTTTTACGTAGGAACGTAAACAAAAGTATAATCAAATAGCTGTACTGATTTCCAGGTTAATCTTAGTTTTGTTGTAAGTACATAGCTTGCTCTGATCCGAACTTTATGTTCCTTGTTATCAAAGTAGTTCAAAATGTATAGATGGTATTAGTATTATAACGCATGCTGGTTAGTGACTGCAATCAAGTGGTGAGATGAAGAATTGAAAAAATTCGGATTTACTAGTGAAAGTTTCTTAAGGTAAAAAAATTTTATTCACAAAAGGTTTTAGTATGATACATAAGACCTAAGTTTTTGAAAAGGAATATGCTAGATAATAAAACAATATGTCGACCTTTCCAACTTTCATTCGTGAATTTAGTTTTTATGTTTCACAGGAGGCTTGCTGGTTTATTTTGTTGGAACTTTAGGTGATCAAGGAAGCTCATTTTTAGAGTGATGGATATGCACTCTTACTATGCTCTAATCATACGTAATGTTAACATAAAATTACGTTTCTATGTGTTTGTGTTATGCGAAGAAAATGTCAAACTTTTCAAGACTGTATCCTAAATTATGAGAAAAATAAATATTGTAATTCTGCTGTGTGATGTGTTTATTTGTGATACCAATAAAAGTTTTTGTTAACTTTTACAGACTTCAGTGGAGGGTAGAAATAATTACAGCTGCAACAGTTAACCCCACTGTAGAATTCCCAAGTTATATACATTAAACTTAAACATAATTAAGAAAAAAATGGTAAGGATGGGACTTTTGTGTCACTGTATAATTTGGAATAACCATTGATACAGTTTCATATTACAATCGTTTTTTCTTAGGAATAACAAACGTTTAAGAAAAAGACATGTCCTAAGTTAGATTCTACGCCTAACAAAGTTTGCGAAGGAACAAAAAATGCTGTCATTTAGCTTAAATCAACGTATCTAAAAAAGCGCTGAAAAATGTATAAGAAAGAGCTACGTAAGTAGTAGTATTACATAAACTATGAACATTGTAATGAGACGTATCACGTTTGAAAGAAGCCGTCTAGGAGCGTGAAGTAATTTGCGAAACAACTTTACAACATACTGATCAATAATTATCATCATGATGGAAGTAAAATAGTGATATTTAATTAATACGTTCGAGAGAAATTTTCATAAGAATTTGATGAATCGTCAATATACGGAAAGGTTGAACACTTTCATATTTGCATATGAAGCTTAATTGTTCAGGTAATGAAAACATTGAATGTTGTATAGTAATTTTTTTGTGGTAGCGTACCTAAATTTTTGTCAACGTAGCTCACTAGCGTAAAGGTTTGCGAAATTTTGTAACTTAAAATTTTACTTAATTTAGGTAGTTCTGCCGAGCAATGCTCGGCATAACTGAGTATAAAAATCGGTGTACGGGCATTCTTTTTATATATGTATATATACACGCTATACATATTAAGCCATATCGGTGCAGTATGGAAAACTTGCTGTCTGTGGATGTATTTCCTCTTAAACGAATTGACCAAGTCAGACAAAATTCAGCATGCTAACTTATTAGTTACGTTTTAGTTTGGGTAAAGCATATGTTTTTAAAGACGGACCTCATCAGCTGCGTGACGTGGCTTTGTGTGGAAAGAAATAAAGCCGAAAAAGTGGACGATAGCACTATACACGCGAAATATATTTTCTCACTGGTTAATCTCGGGTTTGACAGACAGTATTCAAAACTTGTAACCTGTGGCATTGAACGTTTGGTTCAGGTAGCACTGTAGATACTATTGTTTCTTCTTACTTCTCCAGTGTGTTTAATTCCAGCGGATGATGACAAAAGTTGCAGTTTGAAAGTTGTTGCACATCTTCTAATAATATTGCTAATAATAACAAAAGTAATACTAGATTACAAGGTTGCCTTAATTGTTTATTCTAATTTGGTTTAGTTGTCTGTTATCTCTGCTCTAGATGTCTGGGCTCATAGA